GTATATATAATAGTATATATATATATATATATATATATATATTGATATATACATGACATATAAACAGGTACTGTCATCTATCTTGCTGGAGACTTCATACTTGTAGATAGGTGGATGTGCATGCATCTATCACTTGCTGAAGATTGCACACTTGTAGATAGGTGGATAAGCATGTATGTACCATCTGTAGTCATACCCTCGCACATGTATATATACATGCTTGCTGGAGACTCCATACTTACAGATAGGTTGACCTGCATGTGGGCACGGCCCGCTTACAATATACCCGAACATCGTAACTAATCTATGACAATGTCTTCTTCTCTCTGCGACAGACACACATAGCACTCGTGTATGTACGGCGTCTCACCCGGGCCTGTTTCTACTTGAATCTGTGCAGACGTACTGAACTTATCATCAACACGTTTTGATTCTTTGCTGCAGATCTCTCGGCAGCGTAAGAGTCGCCGTCTGTTAAAGTTCATAAGCGATTACCAGGCAACAGTTCGGTGTGTCGGGTTATGGTTCTGAGCAGTTGCTAGGCAACAGTTCGGTGTGTTTGGTTATGGTTATGAGCGTTTGCTAGGCAACAGCTCGGTGTGTTTGGTTATGGTTATAAGCGTTTGCTAGGCAACAGTTCGGTGTGTTTGGTTATGGTTATGAGCGGTTGCTAGGCAACAGTTCGGAGCGTTTAGTCATGGCTATAAGCTGTTGCCAGGCAACAGCTCGGTGTGTTTGGGCATGGTTATGAGCGGTTGCTAAGCAACAGTACGGTGCGTTTGGTTATGTTATGAGCGGTTGCTAGGCAACAGTTCGGTGTCGTTAGTTATGGTTATGAGCGGTTGCTATACATTAGTTCGGTGTGTTTAGTTATGGTAAGGGTTGGGTTATGGCTCGCGTGGTGCCTTTCAACTCACTGGTAGTGTGTAGTAGCCTCTGTTCAACGTACGCTACACACTGTGTAGGTGTACTCTACGCAATCACGTGTTTGTTGGCCTTAAGCGATTGCTAGGCAACGGCTGGGTAGGTATGGTTGGTGTGGTGTATTTTACGCACACTTGCGATGTGATGCAGTGTGTCGCAGAAGGTATGGTAGGTACACTTTGGCGAAGCGGTTCTAGGGTTTAGGGTTTTTACTCAATGTTATGCAATGTGTAAAGATATCTGTTCTGTGCAAATGAGAGGTGTGTGTGTAGAAAGATAGCAACGTACCACCACTCAACCACACACGCTATCATCGCTCACCTCTATCACCCAGTCAATCCCACAGGCTACATCTCTCATCTCACTCATACAGACTAGCATCACTCACCTCACTCACACAGGCGCTATGCACGGACACAGATGGGGTACCACAACAAGGACACGCAGTTTATGTGGCTGGATGCTTCAGAGCCTGACGTGCAGGTGAGAGAAGAGCAGCTTATCACCAGCATCAAGCAGCTGTACGAGAGCACAGAGGCGGACTATGAAAGGTACGGGACATTTATATAGGTATATAGGTTCTTATATGTATATATTCATGTATTATGTATATGTATATAATGTACCGAACTTCCCCTTCATTTCTGCACTATGTATCTCTGCCCTGTGTATATCCGCACATGCCACTCTCACGCGGCACTGTCAATAGCAGGCAACTGGTTATGGACTGATTGGCTATGCACTACGGTGCAACTACACTTCGGCGTGTACCGTGCTATACTCTATACTTCGACATACACCGTTCAAGCAGCACCACTGTCGACCTATACATCATAACTTCTAAAGTGTGTACTCAGATTAGTATCGAGAGCGCTGGGAGGGTAAACCATCACCCACCAGCCATCATCCATGCATAGATCAACTCACAGACAGTGTTAGAGTGACCTGTAGTCTCTAAGACAGACATATGCGATGGCCCTAGCTGTTACAACAGGGTTCATAAGTTGGGTTAGGGTGGGTTGGGTTGGGTAACTTTGCACCAAAGTAGTTGGTTCACCACTGCCTCTCGCATCTTCTATTACCGTGTAGTGCCTTGGCTGAGAATGCCGAGTTCCGTACGGCGTCCTATCAGATCACGCCCAAAGAAGAGAAGCTCATGAAGAGATGGATACCCGAGAATACGCTATACAACACCCCACAGCACATTGAGGCGAAACTAGAGTCTATTGAAGCCGCACTGATAGGTGAGCGTACTAGTTTGATGTTGAGTTCAATGGAAACGGAGGGGTGTGGTTTGCTTGAGAGTCTGTGGTTACGACTGATTGGTAAAGTTTGATGCACTAGGAATAGATTCATACATCCATCGTATAAGCACTTGTTCTTGATGCCGTCTAGCTGTTCATATGTGTAAGGTATGTAGTACCCTATGATAGATATATACGAATTCATGAGCCAATACTAAGCGAATGATAGTCAGTGTGTATATTGTTTATGTTGTTGAATGTGGTCTGTCGTCTCAGCATTCTGAATATCCACAACATATGTTATCGTAAACTTGCTAAGAGAGAGCGCCTGTTGTCCACACTATTGACTGAATTTGTATATGCAAATCATCGAGACACCCACTGTACTGCTTTGGGAGATATTCTACCCCTGCCAACGCGAACCCAGGGTCGGCCTACTTGACATTAAATTGGTCTGTATTTCCGTACTGTTCTTCTAAACCCTAAACCCTAGTACATAAAATGCTGGAAGTTGAGGAGAAGACCACGGACGATGAGAAAACACCAGTCGTGCTTTCAAAGAGGGCGAAAAACAGATCCCTGGAGGGTCGATAAATATTAGAAAATTAGCAGCGAGAAAGATTGCTAATAAATTGGAGTATACTATGAACCATTGGCGCCACCTAGTTTGCTATCATCGTTTTAGGGAAGTTTTGCTGCAAATCCCAATCTGGTGCGTTTCACCAGCATTTCGCCTCGCAATTGTTCGGATATCTCACTCGTCACGTATGCAGTCATATTTGCCATCTCCTGGCGACGGATGAGTCAGCACTAGTTGGCGTGTGACATAGTAATCTACCCAAATTGAAATAAATGATAACATCCCTACCGCTGAATAGTAGATACGCCCTCATAGTGATTCACTAAAACACAAGAAAGTTGTCGTAGACATAGGGCGCATAAGTGACACGTCACGGGAGTAGGGAGGACTTGCCATTCAGGACGGAACTAGATGCACGAAACAGTATGATTGCGAGTGGGAAGTATGAGATATCTTGAATTATATTAGCTTCTGGTATCTTATATTAGTTTCGCACTTGCAGGTATTGGGTATGAGATATCTTATATTAGTTTTGTATTTGCAGGTTTTGGGTA